ATATCCAAGGAAGAGCATTCCAAATTGTAACGATTGTTCAGCTACAGACGTTACGGAGCAATTCCGGAGAATTAGGAGGGTTATTGGGAAAACTCGCTACTCTTTCCCGGTCGCCAAAAAACCAGCTCTTCGACCCGATTCATAAATCTATGAGCATCTTGGGAAAAGACTGCAGCCTAATTTTTGAACAATTTCTGCTTCCAGGAAGTTCTTGAGCTGAATTTTTTGAATAACATCTAAATCTTGTTTCAGATAACAGGAAGCTAGGAGTCGAGGAAAAAGGGTTGATCCATTTTCGATGGATATGATGGTTTTTATCTACTGAGCAAAAAAAAATAGTAATATGATAATTAAGCACTAGCCCTGTCTTTAGTAGTGACATCCTGGTCTGATGATACTGAGACCCAGCCATGATCCCACTACTTTGCATGAAACTAAGTTAATTTGAGTGGTTGGGCCGAAAACCTTCAAGTAATAACGACTTTGTCGACCCAATATTAACAGACCACAGACTGAGCTGGCTCTGACAGAAACGGTTAAAAGCACGTAGGAGCTGTGTTTAGACGCTAGCCAGTTGTTTTATAACCTATCTGTATTTTCCGTGGGTAAGTACTGTGCGATTTGGTCATAACTGGAAGTTTAGCCTTGTTTTGGAATAAAAAGTAAATTTTCAAAAAATCGAATTGTCCCTGTCATGCTCAAGTTTCTCGCGACAACTGAAAATACAAAATGAATCAGATCAGAATATACGAGATATAATTGCGGGGCAGTCTATAGAAAGCAGTAGAGTAAATTTGGAACTCGCAATTTTACCAGGATATTCAGTGCGAGTAGAGTTGTCTTGTTCCGGATAGCGAGGATCGAGAGCTCAAGAAAAGAATTGCAATTGACCGAATGAGAGTGACACTTGGTTGGGAAGGTGGACAGCCGAAGCTGCCCAATGATCCAGAGAACTAAACTTCTTGAGTTAAACCTAATTAATTAAAACTAATTCTAGAGTTGCCTCACGATAATTGTTTACTTAATTCTAGAGTCGTGTCACTATTTGAGTACTTAATTTAGTTTCTCGAGTGTAATTTTTGTGATAATGTTAAAATAAGGCGAGTTTTAGCTTGATACATCTGAAATGGATCAAAGGTCCTTTGTCCAATAAAACTAACGTTATACTTAACCTTTCGAACTTGTTTTTAATGGCGTTCACCTGTTTTACGTATTTGGAGACCATGGGGGCGTTCTTTTTTCTAGAGTGGTGGTGTATTTTTGTAGCAGCGTTTAAGCTGTAACGGCTTATGTTGTCTCATGTCGCAATTGAACCGAAATGGCTACGACTGAATGAGGTACAAAAACGCAAGAGATAGTGTCCCTGACCCTTGAACCAATGGTTATCGGGCTTATTTTTCTTAGCCTCATATGTGACTAAAGCAGGCGACTGTTACATAGTGTTTTTCATGGTGCTCCTGGGCGGGCCATAAAAACACTTCCGGTCGAATGTTACTTTTGTTAAAATTTTAGTCGTATTCTTTCATCATATGGCAAATATATCGTTTAACTCTTTTTCTTGTTCAAATGCCATTTGTTTCCTGAAATTGTCCCATTTTCTGGATAACCTGATTTGGGTCAGGTTTTATGGAAAATTTTATGATCTAGTTTATCGTTCAAAATTCTATTGTTGCTTATTTTAGTCCGCTTTTCTTTGGGCATAGAAGGTCTTTGGGCATAGACCCGTTGTCTTTAAATGTGTCATTTGTGGTTTAAATTTTTTTGTGCACGTACCGTCTTATGATAATTGACTTTTTTTTTAAATTTTATTTTTCTGGGATAACTTGATTTGAGTCAATTTTTTTTAACACCCGTTTGATCTTTTTTTTCAAAGATTTTTTTTGTCGTCTATCACAGGCGTGGTTAAACAGTTCTTTTGACGTGTTGCATGTGTCTACAATTTTTCCGCTGAAAAATATTTACGTTTTTGAGCGAAAATGGTTAAATGCTCGGATGCTGATCGTTTTTTTATCATTGTTAAATCACTGTAGTACATTACTTAAATGTTTCCGTTCATCTCATCGTTTTATTCATTTAATTTGTTTCATTTCAGATAATTTGGTTATCATATTAGGCGACTTTATTCTTTATTTGGGATTCAAATTAATCATTGATTATTCTCCTGATATATTAACACTTTATAATATCAGCATTCTCTAAAAGAAATTCAGTTGAATCTTATTAAATCGAACAAACGAGAATTCTTTTTACCCTCAATTAGTCCAAAAGTTGATCTTCCCAATCTAAATTGAATTCTGTCCGTACTTTCAAACCCCCTAAAATACACATTGAAGATGGGAAGGCTCGTTGCAAGAGTCTTCAGCCAAGAAAACAACCCTTGAAGGTGAGCAGAGTAATTCGCTCTGATGTGATGATGTCATGAAGTGGGTAACATCCTTCCCTGTTGATGCTTCTGAGTTACAGCGCAGGGGGCCACGACCCATGGGATGACTCCCTACGGGTTGACTACTTCCTAGAGTTTCTCAGAATCATTAGCGATACAATGCTTTTGGATTTTTTTACTGCTTTAATGTGATACCGCCAGCATGACATGCAATTGTTTACATGAAGATACAGGGGGGCTTAAGATTTTACAAATTACAATCACCACTACAAAATATACGTTTAATCTAACTCGGTTCCTTGATTTTTTCGTCGTTTTGAAGTTACCATTGACATGTCGTCTAAGATCACCTGAAAAAACTGTTGCGGGTTTACCTCTGAGAAGTGTAATGATTTTATCACAATTAATTAATGTCCCAATATTGTTGCGGTTGATTTTTTAACCGGTCGTTCCAGCGAAGCTTCCTGTCAGTGTTATCAGAAGCGGATTTAGAGGGTGGGGGTGGCCCTTCAGGGATTCGACCCCTTATTCGACAATCGCAGATCCGGGAAATCCCAGATACACTCCCCCCTTCCCCCTCGGGAAAATGATTGGTGCGTCCCTGTGCATCATTATGTTTAACCAATTTGGTTGAACGAAGCTTATTTGCCATAATTGATTTGTTACAAGGAACGAAGTTTCTCTTTTTGTACTTTTTATGGCGTGTGGGGGGATGATTTTCTTAAAAAATTCAAATTTTAGAAAAAAAAATTTCATTTTATTTTATTTCATTTAATTTTTTTATGCTATTACTGCTGCTCCATAAACCTCAAAAGGCAGTCGGAACATTCAGGGCTTCGCCCTGATACGAGCAGTCTTGTCTGCGATTTATGTGAGCCTCTGTTCAATTAAATTATTCAAGCAACTTGTCAAATAACTCTATGGTTTATGCTTGCAATTTTAAAATTAAGACCATTTATCCACGGGAGAAAGAACTAACACAAGAGCTGTACAGTTCATCACGGCGACCGCTGTTGTGCCCCTGTTTAAGAACTACATGCAATTTTTTTTGGTTATGTTTCTGGGCTGGGTAATGTTGCTTCACCCTCAAGCAACGAGCACGGATCATGGTGGGACTCGAACATCCGACCTTTCCTATAAGAGGCGGAGACGTAACCACTTCACCTCCGCCCCAAAACAATTTTTCGAAAGTTGATTTTGCAAGGTTGACTTCTCAAACATATTTCAAGATAATTGATCTTCAAATTTCCGTTTGAATACTCAAGATTGCAACTTTTATACTGTCTGAAAATCCTTTTAAATTTTAGGGTGTACTTTGGCTTGCTTGCATCTAATCACGAGACGAAAAATTTATCGTTTTTGGAGACATATACTTAATTTGTACTCTAAAAATGTGGCGATATTTTTCTTTGTAATGTTTAGATCTTGTAGAAGTTTTCTCAACTTTATTTTTCTAATTATAGACTATTTCTAACAAAATTTTTTTCAATTGGTTTGAACAAACCCCCCCATCTTACTATTTGCATTGTGTTGTTACAACCATTGTGTATACTCGAATCATTTAAAATTGATGTTTATTTCGTTTCATTTGTTTCTGTTACTTAATAGATGAGGCAAAAATTGTTTCTGACAAAAAATGGATTAGTTTTCTAAATAAAGTTTCTATTCAGCTTAGAAGCATTTGTTGGGTACTAGATTATATTGAATGAAAAAGTTTTTAAGAATTTACTTCTGTTTTTTAAGAATTTACTTCGGCGGGTCTAACGTTCCGGGTTGACCTCTATACACCGAAAATGCTTATCATACAATTCCATACACCAAAAATCATTACCATACAATTCCATACGTCAAATTTATGGAGAAAATGCTTACCATACATTTTCAAAAATCAAAAGAAATTATAAATTAAACAGTTTCTGCGGCTTTTCGAAAACAGTTCAACAGACTGGTAACGGAAAAAACTGAATGTTGTGGTTTTTTCAGAAATTTTCAGAAAGATTAAATTACAAAATAATTTACAAAATTGAAATTCCCAACCCCATAAGACTGCTGAAATTTTGGTAGTTTTGAGGTGTGACGTTTTTTGGAAAACTTAAGTTTGAAGTTTTTCAAAATTTGAGTTTCCCAACATTGTAGTTGGATACTGACAGAGTAATTTCAGGAGTTGCAAATCTTGCGTCCAAATGCCACTGCTCAATTGCTTTTAATTTATTAGATGTGACGTTTCTTATTCATTTTGAATTTTTTCAAAGAACTTACATAAAATTTTCTTAAATTTTGTGGTTTTTTCAAAAATTGTAATTGCGAACCCTGAAATTTGATGTTGTCAGACTACCTTTAAAGCTTGCAGATTTTTTTCCCAATATTTGCGGCTTTAATGGGTTGTTAAAAATTCGAGGCACCGATTTTGGATATAGGGTTTTTAATTTTCGTTTTGTTTCTTGATTCAGCTTGAAAGTTTTCAGCGTATATCACATTTGCTTGGTGGCCTGTTTGAGAGTTTTCATGAACTTGTTTGGAAACGTATGAGACAACAAAATTCTTGATTCCTTATCTGTGCTGCCGCATTGAAATTAGTATACTTTTGCGCCAAGGCGCCTTTAGCATTATTTTTGGGTCAAACGGCCCTCGCCACCTTCACCTCTTCTTTCTCCAACTCCTCGGCCTCTGCCTCCATTCTCAGAATTTGCATCTCACGAATCGCCTTCTCACGCTCCTCCATGTTTTCTCTCTTCGCTACTTCTAGTCTGCTCAATTTCTCATCCACTTGTTGCGCTCGTTCGTTCAAAACCGCCTGCAACAACTTCGCTCTCGCCGCTTGTTCCGCAGCCCACTCCGCTTCACGTTTACGCCACAGTCTTTCTGCTTCGTCTCTGTAAATCAGATCCAACTCTTTTTCAGCCTCCACGTCTTTCTGCTGCTTTTGCCTTGCCATTTGCAATGCCTCCTGTATCTCTTGGAACCTCGCTTTCTGCAACTCAGGACGCTTTCTGCATAAAAAGGACATTTAAAATGGACATTAAAATGGACAACTTTCAGACTAAATGAGACAAAATTTGTGAGGTTTCGAATGAGATTAGAATGGACGAATTCAGTATCTTTACGGCAAGAAATCCTGAGGTGGGGCTACCAATCTCCCCATAAATCCGCCCTAGTTTATCGAATTGGAAAATAAAAGTCGATAGAAATCAAAAAGTTTGAAATTGATTAAATGTTGAGTTCCTGCAATTCGTTTCAATATGTAGATTCCAATTTGAACAAATTTACGAACAATATCTATTCTTTTTCATAGCTCAGATAATATTTTATCTTGTCCAGTTTTAATGTTTTTATGGTGTGAGCAACTTTAGTGGAGTTTATTGGGAAGGGTAGTTTGACTTGTGTACCGTTTTCAGGAGTAAAGGACTTAGTGAAGACTCTTATATAGGTCTTGCTGATTTTTTTTGTTTTCATGAAAAGTCTTAGTAGTCTCTAACAACTACATATGTGCATTCATACTAAATGAAGCATTTATGAATGCATTGAGATTTATATGCACTTTTGAATTTAATTAAAAATAATCTGCTGAAAGTGTCGTAAATAGCACTCTCCAAATACGGACGCGCAAATTTTACAAGAAATGTGAACGATTTCTTGTTTCGAAAGTGGGTTTAAATTTCTGGATTTCCAGCTAAATAAAAAAAAAGCTTTACGTGTTGATCCAGTTTTCTCAAGTTGGGGTAATGTTATCAAAATTGCCAATCGTTAATCGTTCTAGAAGTTCAAAGAACTTAGAGGGCATCTATTTTTTTCTTAGAAACTGAAAATTTGAGATTTTTTCAACGAAGTCAGTATTTTTTGATGTTTACTTGCGTTCATTGCTCTTTTTATGAATGCATAAAAAGTGATAAATTCGCAACCTATATAAGAGATTTTCATATTGTTTGTCTAATTTTTTGCTCAACAATTAATTACAGTCAATGCTAAGGATTTTATCACAGACTATTATTGTTCTGACCTTCGTAAACGGAAGTAACGGAATATTTGTGCTCGTGTGGTTTTTTTTTCTTCAGACAAATTTCGACTTTTTAAGTAGCAATTTTTGACGGGATTATTTATAGCATTCAAAAAATTTTGTTGTCCTGAGCTTAAATTTGGAAATATATTTCACCTCTGATCATTTTTTGTAAAGCTACAGGGGTTTAAAAACTGCCATGGACAATTTAGGGCAATTAATGCGCGATATATTTCGCGCTATTAACGCGTAAGCGGAGTTTTAATCCGTCATAGAAATCGTTCCAAATTGGTTGAAGGAAGCTGGTTTGCCGTAATTCATTTGTTACTAGGAGCGGAATTTATCACTTTGTACTTAATATGGCGTGTGAGGGGATGATTTTTACAAAAAGTCTCAAATTAAAAAAAAAAATTCTCTTTTTATCACATTTAATTTTTTAATGTTATTACTGCTCCAAAGACTGCTCTATAAATTGAGACATGTTAGTTGGTAACTTTTGTTCTATTGACTGGTACTGCTAATGCGTCATAATCGGCGTGCGTCACTTAAAAAATTTTGTAGACACAATGTTTTACTTATTCAGTTTTTCCCAGCAGCGTTATTGAACATATGTTTGCTTGAGTATGCGAAGTGCAACTTCGCCTCTGTGTGAAAACCATACTTTGATAACTTCATAGAAGGTAGCTCTGATCATTTTCTCTCGGTCTATGTACAATTTTTTACTGATTTTTGAGGTGAACGTTGTCCAAAGTTGATATTGAAAACCGGCATTTTAGAGGGTAGAAACCCGAGTTTGCGCTAAATCTTGTCCACTAGGTTAGCTTGTGTTGATTTATTTCTCAGTGAAAAAAATGTTGTTCATGCTCAAATTTGATTTTGATTTGTTTTTATCAAGAGTCGATGAATGTTGTTGAGACTCTTATATAGGTTGCGATGATTTTTTTCGTTGCTTTTTTCAGGAAAAGTTTCTTAATTTGTTAAAGCTCAAAATCACTTTTTCGCGGTTTGACTTCTGATTTCTTTTCAAGTTCTGTTCAGTTAAACGATGGCAAGTTCTAATATCGAACAGCGAATGTGTAAATGTCACGAAAAACGTGACGGACTTCTAGTTTCGAAAGAGGATTTTTTTTGCAGATTTTTCAGCAAAATTAAAAAAAAATTAATTATTGATCCAGTTTTCTCAAGTTGGGGTAATGTTATCAAAATTGCCAATCGTTAATCGTTCTAGAAGTTCAAAGAACTTAGAGGGCATCTATTTTTTTCTTAGAAACTGAAAATTTGAGATTTTTTCAACGAAGTCAGTATTTTTTGATGTTTACTTGCGTTCATTGCTCTTTTCCAATCGTCGATTGGCTATGTTGTTGTTTTTGTCTTCATTTTATAGTTTGTTTATTTTGTGAAGACAATTTTAGTAACCGGTGTCTAATGTATATTAATGTTTTTGAATGTTAGAATTTAACGTGTCTAATGTTAGAAAACGAACACGGAAATAGCGCAAAAAACTTGTATGATTTTGGAAGTGGAATTTAACTTTTAGTTTTGGAGCGGAATAAAAACTTTACATATTGATCCTAGTTGGGTTCAAGTTACAAAAAAACTCCGATGGTTGATTGTTTTAGAAGTTCAAAGAAAACTTAAAGGGCATAAATTCGAAAATTAGTGTTTTTCATGAAAGTCAGTGTCTTTTTTTTCTGTTTTCTTGCGTATGATTTTCGATTCTTCCATTGATTATGTTCTAAGTTTGTCTATGAATTTTATACTTGAGTGTCCGGAAGTTTGAGCTTAAAATAACTGTTAATTCTCGGAATTAAACAATACTAAACATTTAGTTTTTTCTTGCAGATGTTTTTTTTCTTTGCTCCAGGTACGATGACTTTGTTCATGTTTTTTTTGGACCACGTTGAATTTGATTACTGCAGGGGATTCATAATGGCTAGGTCGAAGGTTCGATACCGAGACGTATCCGAACTTTTTTTACTATTCCGAGGCCTTTTTCTACTTCTTATTGCACTTTATAGAGTTGCTTTTTGTCGTGTTCTTCTAGTGTTAAAAATTGTCAAGTGCCCGTGAAGCAGATGCGAGGATAGGACTCGAAATCTTCCGGTCGTAGGACCGAATCCGTTATATCAGAATATTTAATTTTCAAGGCTTATTATTTACCTTTTCCTCGCTAGTGTTTGCGAAGTGCAGCTTCGCTTGTGTAAAAGGATGGAAAACTACCCTATTTCAGTAAAGGATTTCTAGTTTCTGGATGCCCAGAGGAATAAAAATATTACCTATTGTTTCAGTTTGCTCTAATTTTAAAAATATAAAAATAGCTTTTCATACTGAAGTTGAAAACTTTTCGATCCGCTTTTTTTGGTTTTGCTGATCGTGTAATTATCTGTTAGCTACATTTTAGTTTTCATTGTTTTTCTATAATAACATGCTGCTTTAATGACTATTACTGACGAATTGCACTAGGCGTTCGCTCAGATCACCGCATCACACCACAGTTAAAAACAGAACGAACATTTTGAAACATTTTTTCAGGCTCAATTATATATTTTTTTGCTATTTCTCTTATGATTTCTTTCACATTACCGTTCATTTTGTTTGTTAAAAGGAAGACAAACTTCACTATCAAACAGCGTAAGGGTAGAGATCTCGGACGATGTGATCGGCTTCTAATTTCGAATGTGGAATTTGTTTTTCAGATTTCCCAGTCGAATAAAAACTTTAATTATTGATCCAGCTTTCTCAAGCTGGGTTACTTTTATCAAAAAAGTGCCGAGCGTAATTTTCTTCAGAAATTCAAAGTCTTTTAAGTGCATCTAAATGTTTCTTTGAAAATCGAAAGTTTTCAAAAAAAAACAAGAAAGATTTTTTTATGTTTGGCTTTTTTCGACTCACCCCACATTTGAATTGCAATTTTGAAAAACTACTGAAAGGTTGTCATAGATTTCTGAACTTTTGCATGGTGAACAAATTAATAATTATTCACAGATTTGTTCTTCATATCTTGCATCGTAGCATCACGCGTTTATCCATAGTCAGTTTTGCATTCAAAACTTCAAAATTAAAACATGCGAAATGCATGCGGGACCTGTCTATCATAGTTACTTTTTCGAGGGACCACTCATTCTACTACATCATTGTAGTACCCCCTCGCCTCACATCAGCAACAATTTTATAGTGTAATGAGGGTTTTTAGAGGTAAATCAACTGGGTATAGGTCCAATCTGCGTGGAAATCGCACATGAATGGCTTTTTCTGGCTGATTTGCAGTAGGTTATTCGTTATCCACACTAATGATCAGATTCAGCATTTTGTGCATTGTATGTATTGATGTTCTTCTTTATTCGGGTGGTTCGCAGTTTCCTTTCTCTTTCCGGGAATCTGATTTGTGCTCGATGAGGTTGTTTGACTCATTCTTTATAGAAGCCAGGTGACTCCTCGTAAGGAGCCTTTTGGTTTATTATATAGGGGGGTTGTAAAAATTTTACTTTATCGGTTACCACTCGTAGATATGAAGGTGGCCCTGACGTTCAAGCGCAAGGGAGTATTGATCGCAGAAGAGTTTGTCTTCAATACAGTTCTTATTTGACTGATTTATTGTTCTTTGAGGTGTACGTTGTTGCGATCCGAGATGTGCAATGCGGCGCGGCGTAAACGTGTTCGGATAATCCACGAAAGTTCCAGCGAGCGTTTTTTGATTCTTTTTCTAGTCTTCGGTTACCGCTATATGACGAATAAGTTCTTAATCCTGTATATTCTCTTTTTCGGCTTCGAAAGGAGTTCGTGGTGGGACACCAATGACAAATAATTTTGTATCAACATAACAAACTATCAGCAAGGCTCACCATTTTAGCTGTTAAGGCTCTTTTTCCTCCCCCCCCCACTTCACTCAAACATGAACTTTATGGTCTAACGAGAGTGGTTTTACAAGGTTAATTATGAAGACCAACTATGTTTTTCATGGCCTAATTAGTTAGCATGTCAATTTTCATAACAATCGGTTGAACAGTAATTTTACAGTAATTCGCAAGGGGAAGGGGGAAAGGAAAAAGAGAGGGCTACTCTATCAAAATCACAATTGCACCTCTAAGATCCTTTTCCTCTGAATGATTGGAACTTCTTTCGTTGTGAAGTGAGCTAGTAAGCAACGTGGACAATTAGACAGCTTTGTATGAATATTTTGTTGTTTAAGTCTAATTTGTGAATACTCGAGCTATAACAAATTCAGCTTCTCTAAGCGATACTCAGAGCCCTGCTAGCTCAGTCGGTAGAGCGTTGGACTTTTAATCCAACGGTCAAGGGTTCGAGTCCCTTGTGGGGCAAAACCTCCAGTTTTGAATGCCCGAATCATTTTACTTAACGAGATAAGACGATTTTTGAGATTTTTTCAAAAATTTTCAGAACGTTCAAATGACAAATTAATTTATAAAACTTGAAGTTCCCAACCCAATTGGGTACTGTCAGAGTACTATCAAGGATTGCGAATCTTGCCTCCAAATATGACTGCTCAAATCCTTGTAGTTTTCGAGATATGACGTTTTTTGTGATTTTTTCAAAGTTTTCGGAAAATTTTAATTAAATATTTCTCTAAGTTTGAAATTCCCAACCTTGTAGTTGGGTTCTGTCAGAGTACTCTAAAGAGTTACAAATGTTGCCTCCAAATATGACTGTTCAAATCCTTGTAGTTTTCGAGATATGACGTTTTTTGTAATTTTTTCGAAAAAATTATCAGAAAACTGATATTATTTTTTTTCCGCAAAATCGGAAATTCTCAACCCTCTAGTTGGGTCCTGTCAGAGTTTTCTCAAAGATTGCAAATTTTGCCTCCAAGTATGACTGCTCAATTCTTTGTAGTTTTCGAGATATGACGTTTTTTGTGATTTTTTCAAAAACTTTCAGAAAAGTTAAATTATTATGATTTTATAAAAAAAAGGAATTCCCAACCCTGTAGTTAGGTCCTGTCAAACTACTTTTAAAGGATTGCGAATCTTGCCTCCAAATGTCACTGCTCAATTCTTTGTAGTTTTCGAGATGTGACGTTTTTTGTGATTTTTTCAAAGTTTTCAGAAAGTTAAAATTAATTATTTTCAAAATTTGCAATTCACAACTCTATAGTTCGGTGTTGTCAGGGTATTGAAGAGTTGCAAATCTTGCCACATGCGACTGCTGCACGCGACTGCTCAAATACTTTCAGGTTACGAGATGTGACATTTTTCGATTTTTTCAAAATTTCTCTAAGAACTTATCTACAAAAAAATTCAAAAAATTTTAAACTACTAACTTGATGAAAATAAAATCTTATTATCAGCGTACACCCAGTACACCCAGGCGTCTCAAGTCTTGCCTCTTAATATGAATGCTCAAATCCTTTTAGTTTCCGAGATAAGTCGTTTTTTTGGGAAACTTAGGTTAAAAAAAATTGACAAAATTTTGGATTTCAATATTTATAGTAGGGTGCTCTCAGGGACTCGCAATGGTTGCAAATCTGGCTTCCAGATTACTCCAGAGGCTCTTTAAGTTTTCGAGGTGATGCTTTCAAAATGGGAATTTAAAAGTTCGAAATTACCAACCCTGTAATTGGGTGCAGTCACAGTACACTAAAACGTTGCAGATGTTGTTTCCAATATTGCGGTTTTTCATGAGTTGTCGAAAAATTTCGAAGCACCGAAGGTGTGTTAATTGCTTGTAAAATTTAAATGTGAGTGTGGAAGTGGAAACGAGCCTTCTGTTTCTTTGAGTTCATTTCTCTTTTCCAACTGTCATTTGGTTATGTGTGTTGTATCGCAAGTGGTGCGAACCTCAGTTTCACCTCTGTGTCAAAAATGGTCAATCATTAAAGCAGAAAATCTTCGTCGCAATACAAGTTTTCGGCGCTTTAATGATAAAACTAATTTCGAAGCAAAATGTCCAATCTTCCATCGCCGGTACGCGAGGAAGAATCCGCCGAAAGGCGTTCCGCTGGATGCCTTTTACATGAATACAGAGTAATGTCTTCAGGAGCGCTTATAACTGTGTAGCAGTTTCGTTAATTATCTAACACGTACATCCAGATTTGACTTAGCCCCTACTTTTTTTTCATCGAGACATGAAAATTTTGGTTCACCTCATTTTTCAACCTTATTTTTTTCCCTAAAATTTATGTTTTTGTCGTGTCACAAATGGTAGGAAGGTCAACTTCGCCTCTGTGTGCAAAGTCAACATCTTTCCCATTCATTAGGAGGAACAAACGTATTGGAGACTCTTATATGTCTGACTGATTTTTTTGCTCAAATAACTACAGTTGTTCAATAACTACAGTAATTCAGTTTTTTTATGGTTTTTTTTCTCACCTTGCAGCTTCCGTCTCATCTTCAGTTCGTTTACTCATGTAACTTACTCATCTCTTTTTTCAGATTGTTTGAAATGTATGCGAATGCTTTTGACCCAGAGTTTGATAGCCAGCAAAATGGTCCAATCAATGCGCGGAGTCAGCGAATTGCGAAGGGCATTAATAGCCAGAATGCGTATCATAACGAATACTTATCTCTTGTGAAAGAAGCTGCGAGCAAAAGATGGGTCTTTCATATGCCGGGAGATGATGTCTCTAACAATTTCCAATATAATAATTGTCGGTGGCCGAAGAGCATGAGTGTTGCTGCTAAATTAGACCTCAAACCAGGAGATAGCGTTCTCCTGAAGTTTGGCGAGATAACCGATTATGCTTATTTAAGTGCCATAGTAGAAGCAAAAGATTTGATGGTTGTCGAAAAGGTGGTACACGACAAAATAAAGGAGAGGACAAGAGCACAGCCAGATGTGATGCTCAAACATGTGAGCTTCATAGAGTACGTTGAATTTTTTCTTCAATTTCAGCTTTTTGTGAAATTGTTAACATGCAAGTTAAAAAAGAGCAAGTTCTTAAAAAATATATTTTTGCCCAAAAATTTCAATCCATTTTTTACAAGCATCTTTTTGTGTTTATCTGGTTTAGAGATCGTGACTGTGACAAAGAAAATGCTGCATGTTTTGAAAATGAAGACCGGCAAGATGTTGGAAGCGTTGCAGCTGTAGAAAAGATTGTGGCGTCAGGCAAGGCAAAAAAACGGAAGACTGTGAAACATGCTGATGAAAAGGTTAACAAAAAGAAGCCAAGGATAGATCCCGAAGTCAATTTGGAAGATGACCATGAGCCCAATGTCAACCTGCTAGACAATTCAGCGCCCATTATTTCGGCTAGTATTCTTATGTTTAGCGTAGGTTTGTGACTCAAAAAAAAATTGAACTGAAAAAGACAAGTGAGGTTTTAATTGCAGAAAAAAGAAGAACTGTATCCAAAACTGCGTTTGAATTGGCAAATTAGATTTTCAATTAAGGTAGCCTTGTTTGTTTAAAGGAAGTCGAAAAAATGTGTCAGTGTTTGGAGGCAAAGGAGATTGTGGCTGTTGTAGTGGCAAAATTTGTCGAGCTTAACAAGGTCAATGCAGAGCATGCAGCAAAGTCAGCCGCGGAAAATAAAAAATTGAAAGATAGATTTGCCTCGATCTTGAAAAAGAGTAAACCGTCTGCATCCTGTAAGCTTGGGCCACTGCCCGAACGTGAAAGCGGAGAGCCCGTCTGGTTTGGGAAAGGCGACTCAATGGTTGATTTAATGACGTTGGATCCCTCTGAAGGTGCATCGATTTTTGGACGAAAGTTGGCTGCAGTTATTTTCAATGCAGAGGAGGATTGTCTCCTCATTAACCAACGTATGGGCGTGAAGATAAACAAAAAAGGATCAAGAAAAGCGGCATCCTCTGATTTGGAGAATTTGTTTAAAGAAGTTGTAAAACGAAATTTTGTTAATGGAACAGCGGAAGCAGTTGAAATCGCCATAAGAGGTGGCAATCAGTACGGGTTAGAAATGGCTGGAGACTACCCAGAAAAGGTCGAAAAATGAAGTTGAAAAAAATCAGGTGGCTTTACTCGGTGCTTTTTTTCATTCCCGATTTGTACCTTGCATTAGCTCTTTTATTTCATTCAACTTGTGATGACTTTCATCAATTTATTTTGATGGTTAACGTTTTCTGTCTCATAAAATTCTCAGCTTAAACCTCAAAATTAATCACATCATGGAAACTTGTTCAAGTTAATTTTTTTTAAAGAAAAAGAATGTCATTTTTATTGAGCACTTCTGAATCTGAATCGGAGGATGAGCCAATAACGATCGTCCGGAAATCAAAAGCAGAAGTTGCTGCGGAAGTTTTACCAAATGAGAGATCTTGTGTGAAGCCTTATGTGAAAAAGGCATCAGGTGAGTTGGATATTACTCCTTTGCAGTTAATTGCTGGAACTTCGAAAAGAACTGAAAATTCGGAACCCAGGAAAATTGTTTCTTCTACTCCTCTCCAAAGTCAAGGCAAGAAGCGTTTGATAGAGGAACTTGAACGAAGGCTTAATGACGAAATCAACAACCACAGAAAGAAACTTAAAGCTATTCGATCAGCGGAAAAGGCTAATAACTTGGAATTCTTGAAATTCCTTTCAATCGATTTGAATGGTGAGAATCTTTCGCCTGTGAACAATTCGGAAGAAGTGGTGTGGTATAAGAAGGACGGGGAATGGATTAATCTAATGGCAGTTTTTGCAGTTCCTCAGCCAAGTAAATTTGGACGACATTTGGCGACAAAAATGTTCGGAAAAGATGAAGATTGTAGGTTAATGGTGGAAATGATAGGTTGTGAGAGACAAAGTGTATTGAGCAGAACGCCTATCCCCAAGGAAGAAGAAAAACTGTTCAGACGAGTAGTGGAACTCAAGTATCCTTTGGAAGCTAGTTATGCGTATTCCGAAGCGCGCCAAGCAGCAAACGTGATGGGAGTTGGATATCGTCGCAAATATCCTGCCAAATTGAAGCAAATTCTAAATGAGCAACATAAAAGAATGGTGGCAGAAAAACTGCAAACAACAACCGTGATAGAAGACGATTTGGAGTAGAGCCAAGCTTTCACGAGAAAAGTCGAACAATTATTTTGGAAAATGTTGAAAACACTAAACTTGGCGCTTTAACCTTATTTTAACTTTGCCTTGCAAAAACCTTTTGTTTTCATTCAAGAAAGTTTGTTAACCATATCAATTGAGTTTGATGCTGATGTTTTTTAGAGGGTAAAAGTATAACAATTGAATCCTGAAAGCACATTAATGCATAAAAAGTGTTCGAACAGTTTATAAGGTGGTCTTTTTTCAGTAGTTTCAATATGGAAATTCGACAGGAAGATTCGCAATACATAGCATCTCTTAAAGGAAAGAACTGCCTCATTTTGGCACACTGTGACGCGTATGTTAGCAAGCGTATGGTTAAATATGGCGAAAGAGAACCCGTATCTTTAGTGCGGCACCTCAACTTTGAATCGTTTCAACAACTTTTGACTCAACACAAAAACGCCCAAAAGTACGAGCAGATTTTAAGCAATTGTTATCAGGAAGTGAAAGATTCTTTCTACAGTATTAAATTTGATACTTTTAATGGATATGGTCTGTTCTATGAGGGTAAGCATAAGCTTTGCTATAACTCTAAGAAAAAGTTCAGGATTCCTGAATTGCGAGCTCTTATACAACGGGTTCCAAGTTTCCTCGAAGATCAAATCAAACCAGTCTCTGTGTTTGCGCCTACAGACTTATGCTCTCAAATGCGCATAATGGTGGGTCCTGTTCGCTTTGTCAATCATTCATGCGACCCGAACTGCGAATATGTCGTCACTGAGCACAAAAACATGAAATGTGTGGGCCTGCAGATTCTGAAAGACATTGAACCTTACACAGAATTAAATGTGTATTACGGTCCAAACTTTTTCGAAACTGGAAATTCTTCTTGCAAATGTCCCTATACTCAGCTTCATTGTTCTACTCCTTGCACGTCAAGATATGAAGTAAGTGTTCAAAGCCATCGAATTAGCTTGAAGCCAGAGACGGTTATGCGCTTTGAAGATCGAAGGTATAGGCTTAATCGGTCGAATGGGCCGAAAGTAAAACGAAAAAAGATTGTTCAATATGAAATGAGAGAGCACTATTCAGATAGCTCGAATGAACATAGCGATCAAGAAAATTGCTCCGATGTTGAAACCAGGAATTTCTTTGACTCGATAGAGCAAAATGGCTTAGATTCTGTCTCGAAATCTGAAATCCAGATTAATAACAAAACTTTGGATCACAATGTTGATGAAACTGTTGCTGATGCTGTGATAAGTTCTCCTTCGATCGCAACAGAGGACTTTGATCAAAACCGGCTGCTGGGTGTGTTAGCCTCTTCGCCTATATTGAAAGATGCTGAGAACCAAATAATGGATCTCAGTTTGTCACAAATTGACGTTTTGGGAAATGATTCTTTTGATAGGTCAAGCAGTGGAGATGTAGATGATAGTCAACAAAATGTCAGTTCAATGTCAAATTTCGTTCTTTGTGCTAACGCCCTGATTGCTCGACACGGAACTTCTGACGCTGAAGCCAATAATTGGTTCAAGCTGATTCGGACAGCGTTTCCCGAAAGCGACATTCCTAGTTTTAAGGCATTAAAGCGCCAGTATCATGTGGTGAAAGCCAGCGAAGTGTCATTTATTAGAATTTCGGGACTAGGAAAGCGATGGCAGCTCGACTTTATATCTGAGTTGAAACAAATTGTGAATTCAAACGTCAGAAAAATTTTTCAGTTTTCAACAACTCGTGAAGAAAATACCGATCTCAAAATTGGGAACCCCTTTAATCATCTTTTGCAAACTTTGACAGTCCACTTGCTTCTGAACTCAGACGGCGTAGATGCATTCAAATGTAATCCAAAGTCCCTGTGGCCCGTTTGGCTGGCTATTGCTGATCTTCCCCCCATGAAAAGATGCATGTATAAAAACATCACACTCGCGACACTGTGGTATGGAAAGAACAAACCAGACTGGAATGAGCTTTTTCAGGTTATTTTTTTTGTTTCAAAATTCAGCAATTGAAGGCAGATAAATGTACTGCAGTTTGAAATTGTCCTTTTGCAGAAGATTTTTAAAAACTGAACACTCCTAGCAGTTTTCCATAAAATTTGTGGGTCATCTTTTTTTCGGCATTAGAAAATGTCATCTGAGGTTATGATTGTTAGTTTAAGAAAGGGGACTTCTCTGAAACGTTTGTTTTACATCTGTTTCAGGAACTCCAAACAGAACTTCAGACAACTGACTGCTCAGTCAATTTTCAAGGACGCACTTACCGCTTGATTTTTCGAGTCAAAATCTTAATTTCGGATATGCCAGCAACAGCAGCTATGCTCAACATGCATCATCACAGAGCGAAATTCGGATGCACGTTGTGTTATGCTGAATCGGACTTCAAAGAAGGCATTCGGTATTATCCAAATAGAACCTTCAAAATGAGGGA